GCTCTCTTGATCGGCCCAGATGGATACCGAAGTGAACATGCTTTGAAATTCAACTTCGATGCAACAAACAACATGGCCGAGTATGAAGCCCTGCTACTTGGTCTGCAGCTAGCATTGGAATTAAAACTCAGTGCGATCCAAGTATATAGTGACTCCCAGCTGGTGGTGAACCAAATTAACTCAATCTACGAAGTTGTTGATCCTGTGATGGTGAAATATGTGGCTTTGGTGGCCGAGCTGAAGTGCAAATTCCAGAAATTCTGCCTGAACAAAATCCCCCGAACTGAGAATGAATAGGCAGACTCACTCTCTAAATTCGCCTCTGATAGTTCTTCACATTCCAGATCAGTATTTGTGGAGGTCTTAGATGAACCAAGCTTCATGAAGCCACGGGTGATGGAGATCAGCATCGACCCAGGCACACCGAGCTGGACCAACCCAATCCTTTCCTTCTTACGAGATGGGACAGTACCTAAGGACAGGCAGGAGGCAATGAAGTTGAGGAGGAAAGCATCTCGGTATACACTTGTTGATGGGATCCTCTATAAGCGATCTTTCTCTCTACCTCTTCTATGGTGCTTGAACCCCTATGAAGCAGAATATGCACTCAGGGAGGTACATGAAGGTGTTTGCGGAAGTCACATGGGTGCTCGAACTTTGGCCCATAAAGTCCTTAGACAAGGTTATTATTGGCCCAACATGTACAAGGATGCCACTCACTTTGTTCAGAGATGCTTGAAATGCCAGTTCTTTGCACACCTGACTCACCAGCCTGCAGAAGAACTCACTACTCTGGTAGCACCATGGCCATTTGCTCAGTGGGGGTTAGATCTTTTGGGCCCATTCGTGAAGGGGGTTGGTGGTGTAACCCACGTGATTGTTGGTGTAGATTACTTCATAAAGTGGGTTGAAGCTCGGCCATTATCCAGTCTTACTTCCAAGAAGATTGAAGACTTTGTTTTCGGCTCAATCATCTGCAGATATGGGATCCCGAATCAGATTGTGGCTGATAATGGACCTCAATTTAACTGCACCTCTTTTCGAGATTTCTGTTCCAGCTACGGGATTAAACTGCAGTTCACCTCGGTTTACCATCCGGAGTCCAACGGCATGGTCGAATCCGTTAGCAAGTGCATCCTAGAAGGTATAAAGCCGAGGTTGGAACAACACAAGGCCAAATGGGCAGACAAGCTCAACAATGTCCTCTGGGCATATAGAACTACGAGTCGAACTGCCACAGGTATTACTCTACAGCTGGCCTATTTGATTAATTTTATATTACTCTACTTCTTCTGTTACGATTTTACCGAAGAGCAAGTATGCATAACGTGTAAAGCGCATTCTAAAATAATACCCTGAAATAGGTGAAACACCATATCATCTGGCCTTTGGTACCGAAGCAGTCATTCCTATCGAGATAGGAGTTCCAAGCTTCAGAGTCACCCATTTCGATGAAGGACGGAATGGACAACTGCTTCGGGAGAACCTTGATCTGCTTGATGACCTCAGAGAAGAAGCACGACTTCGAACTCTAGTCTACAAGCAGAAAATAGCAAATTTCTACAATAAACGAGTTCGACCCCGATCATTCAAAGTAGGAGACCTTGTTCTCAGGAAAGCTGGTCTAACGGGGTTCGAAACTCGATTCGGCAAATTAGCACCAAACTGGGAAGCCCCTACACTATCGCTGAAGTGCCACACCCAGGTGCTTATATCCTGCGGGACACTGAAGGCAAACGAGTTCCCAGAGTCTGGAATATCAATAACCTGAAGAAGTTTTACCCTTAAGTGTACTTCATTTAAGTGAACTTTGTTTTGATAATTCCTACTTTCACTCATTCTGCTCAATTTAGAGTGTATTTTAACTCAATTCATTAATAAGTTTCACTTCACGACCAAAGTAATTCAGTTTTGTGTACTCTTCTGTACGTAGGAAGTGAGTTTCATTTATCTTGACTCATTCAGCCACTTCATTTTAGGGTTATAATCCTATTAGTCAGTTACACTTTATTTTTGAAGTGCTTTACTTCGTCTTCAAAGTATATCTTAATGGATATCCGAAGTCAATTACTATACTGTTTATCCGAGGTCAGAACCTTGTGTTAATTCCAGTTAACATATTTTACCATAAAAAGTTCCTCAAAGGAAATCATCAATCACAAATTAAAACTCGAACACCAGACAATAATCAATTCAAAAATTTTACATTAAATATAACAATGTTATTTACATCAATAATGAAAAGAAAATCCTAAACTACTCTGCTGGAGGAGGAGGCTGCTCCTCAGTAGGAAAAGGTGGGGATCTGGGTTCATCTTCAGCAGGCTGAGGTGGCACTTCTTCTTTAGGAGGGGCCAGCTGCTGCACCTTGTTAGAGGAGACTGGATGCACCTCGGGAGGCTGCACTTCGGCCATTGCTGCCTGATCCCCAACACCAGCGCCTAACGCTCCTTCTTCTTCTTCTTCTTCTCCCTCCACGGCCACCAACTCAGCATCAAAGGTTGGAGGAAAAATGGTGCGCCCCTCTACATCACGCTCCCACCTCAGAGTAATCTGAGGACGGAAGTCCGCACAAAGACTCTCGCCATCTTCCTCCACTCCTTCCTCCTGTTCCCCAAAGGTGACCGTTGTCACGTCCACCTCTGGGTACTGGGCCTTCACCTTCTTTCTACAGTCGGTGAAGGCCAGGATGGCGGTTGGCAGTCGGTACAGCTTGAGGATGCCCTCGAAGGTGCTGGAGTTGAGGAAGTTGCCAATATGTCCCTCCATCCCGTTGTGCACCAACAGCTCCACGTTGTTCTTCAGCTCCACTGCCCCTTTCTTCAGGCTCTCGATATATTTGTCTTGAGTCTCGAGCTTCTCTTCGCAAATTTTCCTTTTGCGTTCCTCAAGAGACAGTTTCGTGCTCAAGACACTGTTTTCACTCTGGAGCTCGGTCACTGTTGGTGTCACCTCATCTAGCCTCCTCTGAATCTGCTGGTTTTTCTTCTGCAACTCCCTCTTTTCCTTCTGCAGCTCCTCTTTCTCCTTTCGCAGGGCATCGCACTGCCTCTGCAAGCTGGCACGATCTCTAACGCTCTCTGTATACTCCTGCGCTAGAGCGTTCGTCCAGCTCGCACTCTACAATGCAATCAGAGGTCAGACATCAAACATAGGGGACAAATAACTCAAACATGTAACCGGAGTAAAATCTAGTTATTTCGCATACCTCTAGGGCATGCCTCACAACGGTATACCCCGCATGGCTAAGCACCTCGTTCTTCGCTTGCATCCTATCCACGTCAGGAAGCGTAGCGTTGAGAAAGTGCTTCGCCCCAGTCATGTTTGTCGCCTCAAACAAACTTTTCTGGTACGCGTGGGGTGGGGTGCGCTCCCTGCCCCCACTAAGGCCTTGCACCTCGGCCTCTTCCCTCTCCCGGACCTCAGGAACGATTTCTGGAGGAGAAGGTTGAGGCATGAACTCCACCACCTCATCCCCCCTGCTTTCTAGCTCTGCCACCCTCCTCTTCTTCCTCTGGAGCGGAGCCGTCTCCTCGCTTACATCCTCGCTGCCCCCTATCTCAGGCTCCGGCCTTGGCTGCACCTCCATGGCCCAGGCAGAAGTGCTGGGAAGGCGCTCTCTCTCGGGCACCCCTCTGTTCGCCGCAGCTGAAGTCGTTGACTTCTTCCTTGGCTTCTTTGGGATGCGCAGCCCCCCAGCAGCATTAGTAAACTCCTCCATCTCAGCTGCAATACAAGAACAACAGTCAAAACGCATAAACTAAGATCTAACTAACATAGCACAATGTAAATATACACAGACCTTCGCTCAATGAGCTTGGCCCATAGAGCTCAGCAGCCTCTATTGCCTGTGGACTGGTGAGGTATAGGATGTCCACCACGTCTCCGTCCTCCCTCACCAGCTTCTTCACTTCTTCCACCTCATCCTCGTTCAACTTATAGTTGTTCTGCTTGGATTTCTTCGCTTTCCAAGCAGACAACTGTTCCACTTCGGCATCCCTCCTACTCCACTTGGTGTCATCCACAAAGAAGAAATTTTCTTTCCATCCTTTGATGGATGACGGCCCAGGAGAGAATAAATTCTTATTCTCTTTGCTGGACGACCGAAGACCGAAGTGATACCACCCCTTTTCTCCTCCACCCCCAGCCTTAATTATAAAAAAATGTTTAAACATATTCACAGTGGGAACCCCAACCCCCCGAACTCTGCAGTATACAAGAAAACCTATTACTACCCTCATGGCATTTGGAGTTAG